CGGAATGGACAACTTTGAGGTAGATTCACTTCGCAGTCTGGCTGACTAGGGGAAAGCATTGCATTTCAGTCAATCGGACCACCTCCAACTGACACCGCTTCGTTTTCTCGAGCCGCACAACCGATTCATTTGTGGAAAAACGCCTTTTGCGACCACTTCAACCAGAAGGTTCGACATTGCTGCATTTCCTACCCATACTGAAAATGTTCCCGGAATCACCCATGATTTACGCAAGTGGCGAATTATTTCAGGATCGTGAGATTACTGACAAATCCAGTGATGAGCAACAACTATTTCTGGAGCCCACGATTGATAATCTGGTCGCTCAAAGAGAAAAGGTGAGTAGCCTCGACTAGAGACTAGGCTAACCGAAGCACGCTTTATGCGGTAAGTGCACTACTCAAAGGTGAATAATGCCGATAGCCACTGGGAAATAAGGACAATACTTTCGTGAAATATTGAAGTTAGGATCAATGCGCTGGAAACCAACAGATGGCAGAATCTGGCAGTGAGCCCAAGTGATGGTTAGAGGTTAGCAGGAGGACGATCAACTCCCTTCCTGGGTACCAGAGCTGCGCGATCATTGAAGCCTGAAGTTAGGTTCAGACTCAGGCTTACGCCTAGGTATTGAATTATGCTCAAAGCAACAAACACGGATCAACTTGGTGGGTAACAGTGAACGACGAAATTGTGGATGCCGATTTGACTGAAAATGAAAAAAGATGCAAAATAAACCGCCGATGAATTCCTATAACAGAGGCTCCTTCTCTTCTCCTTCAAAATGAGAAAGGGGCATGTCCGGACGAGTTGTCTGAACTTGCTTGCTCCTGCTCCACTAACCCGCGCGATTTGAATTAGCCGCTACGTCGTAATCCATGGGGTTATTAAGGGGTGTGCACGAGGTATCTCGCCCATCAGCTCGCACTACCTACTTAGTGAGGCCATGGCGCCATAGCCATGCACTTTCGAACCGCGACAACGGCACAACTGTAATGCTCGCTGCCTATACTTTTCTAGATAGATTATTCGACACGACTAAACACCTAGGTTACCAAGGTAGCACGTTTTCAAAATCGGCCGAGCGGAGGATAACCTCGCAGAAGCTTTCATCACGATTGATGATGATCATGACGTTATTGGCGCGGTGCTCTACATCTTACTCTTCGTGCACCACAAAGAAAATTAACGCTTTGAGGTACAAAGCCGAACCCTGAAAAGATGGCTGTCGATTTTTCCTTACAATTGAATTTTCCAAAACTACTGAACCTAATAGTAGAGCCTGTGAAAAATTCGTTTATTCAGGACTTGGAAGTTTACATTAAACAGAGAAAGGATCGACAAGCAGCAGAGGCACGAGCGGCACAGAAAGTGACATCCATTTAATATCGAATTCACGTATCACTGCGGAACATCACATTATGTTTTTTTTCTCAATGAAAAGTAGAAGTCAGTGAAATCTTATTATTTTTTGCAGGGGATCACACAAACACAAATTATTGATTCGTGGGGCTCGTAAAATCAAAATTTTCGGAAAATTCCGTACTAAATAGATAAGTCAACATGTGCAGCATTAGTAGCAGTCATGAGTAATCTTACTGTGAAAATAAATAGACTCGAGCAGACATTTACACCCGCCTCTTGTATTGTCACTTTTTCTTGAGCCATCTTGGGGCTGAATTTGCTTTATGAGGAGGTGGGCGAAACTCTGAAGATGCAGAAGTCATTGTATCACCGGGTCTCTTCGCCGTGCGCTCTTCCTCCTCTATTATTGCTGCTATATGGCTTGAATATAGTGTTTTCTGACAGCCTGAAATCATTTGAACATGAAACTACAAGCACATGCACTCAGAAAAGGCACGTTGCGAAGAAGAGCACTTCAGAAATCGAAAGCGATCACAAAGGGGAAATTTCCAGTAAGAGTTGGATGGAGAAAACATATGACTCAATTAATAACTGACCAGGTGGAGCACAGCTTATCCGCTTCCTCTTGAGTACATTCTCGAAATGAGTCTCGTAACAAAATAGTCTCTAAAGACAGTACATCTTACCGGTGACATTGGCAGAGGTTTCAAAAAGGTATGTACCGAAGATCACCGAGTCCTTGAATCTGATCACCACAGTTGATTTGGGCGCCAAGTCCGCATCAACAAAGTTTCTTCGAAGTAGACTCTTCGATCTTATAGACATAGCGCAAGTTTTAACGAAAACGGTACATCACGAGATATGATAGAACGAATCCATTCAAAAAGCCGTGAAACTGGAATGAAATATTTTAATATACATCAGCATGTGAGAAGGAACAACCCACCCGGTTCGGCACTTTGAAATTGCGCCTGGATTAATCTGTCGTTGCCGACGGGTATCCTGATGACTGTATGGCGATAGGCAGCCAACTTCCTTTTCTGCGTATTCTTGGTTCACATACTGTGTAGGCACAAGAGCCCGCTGAGTGTTGAGGCGGCTGAATAACAAAGTAAACGATAACGCAAGAGACGGCATTAATTCGAGAACAATGAATCGAGTTCACACAGATTGGAATTAGAGAACACAAAGAAGTACTTCGTGAAGAACAATCTTTTGGGAAACGAACAGCATCCTCCTTTCTTTCAAAATCATGAAGAAATTTGAGAGGGAATACGATTTACACTTTCCTCGCCCCTTCGAGATTCGTTTCAGGTTCACCAATTTGTCCCTACAATTTGGTGAACCTGAAACGAAATTACCTCAATTTACGCAAATAATCGCATTTTTAATACCCTCCTTGTCCCCTGTGTTTATGTGTCTTTCGAAGATGCCATGGCCGCTATCTTGAGAACGTGCTAAAGTGCATAGCCAATAAACTCAGTACATAAGCGAACTTACACATCGTCACGAAGTTGCTTTTGTCGAGCCTTAACGTCATCAACGCTGAGTTCGAAGAAATCATCACTTACGCCCGCCTCCATCTCATTCCGTTCAGCATTTATTCTTCAAGAGAAATATAATATATTATTATGTTACAGCAAACAAGACAGAAAAAATAGTTTGAGGAAAAAACCTGCCAAAACTATTGCCAGAACTTGGAGTTGAATACTTTTAAACTCACCGACGTAAAAAGATCACAGGCTGCCGTTCACACGGAGGAGCGAAAACGACTGGACTCACGGCAGTGTTGGTATCTTCCTTCAAACAGTAACACAGTCATTTACAGAAACGGAGTGCATGGTATACCAAGGCTGCAAATCAAGTAAACGTCACACCAACTCTCCTATACGATTTGCTTCGATGGCAATGCGCGAAAGTGGTACTCGTCCTTCTTCAGCAAGAATGTCAGTAATTCTATCATGTTCACGATGTGGTGTACTGAGAGATGTGTCTACCTGAACTGCAACAACAATCAGAAATCGAACAGAAAAATCGCTCTTATCGAATTACAAAAACGCATACATTGTACAAGCACAGGTAAAGCTAGAAGGAGCGCACCCGCGAAAATGTCAAAAGAATGCGCATGCAAACACACAAACGAGATCTCACTTTGATCGCAACATTTGCTTACTGGCCCATAACGGGGTCAACACAACGGTCTGTGCAAGTAATGAGTGGCACCTTGACCATTTGCTTCATCTTCGCTAACGAGGAAATTATAGCAGGTCGAATCGAACCATTTGAGATGAGATGTGGATCACCTGAGCCTCCCGAATACTCCAAATTTGCCAGACGATTCTCGCGATAGAGCCAAAGAGGTTCAAAATGATAACAGACTTTAACTTACGGTCCGTTTGAAGGGGCGGAAGTGGTGTAGTGGCAAGTGGCACGCTTACCACGCGAGCGGTCCGGGGATCAAATCCTGGGTCGTGAGTCGCCCGGGCCAACCAAGCCTTCCATCCCTCCGGGGTCGGTTAATTGGTACCAGACTTGTCTGGGAGGATAAAAACACTGACTTGTACATCGGCTGGCCCCCGCAAGTCATTGTATAGGCCACATCGCATTCAAACGCCACTACGAATGTACAAATGGAAGTAGAATGCGTGCCGCATCCCAAAAGGGATTGATCAACGGCAAATGCTTTATCCTTT